GTGAGACATGTCTCCCTGCTGACAATCACATTGTGTGTAAGAGAAAACACTGACTGACAGTGCCTGTGGACACGTTAACATGTGCATAAGAAAAAAACAATGGTTGGTAGTGCATGTTAACAGAGCAACATGTCTACTGCAGACTGTGGCTGAAAATGCCACTGGACAGGTGACATGTTATTCTGAAGACTGTTTCCTTATTCATTAGAGAAAACACATTCTGGCAGTGCATGTTAACAGGGTGACCAACATATCTTCCTGCAGACTCTGTCTGGTAGTGCCTGGGGACAGGGTGAAATGTTTTCCTTCAAACCCTGTAAGATACAACTTTAAACATCTGAATCAAACCTCATTAACATGACATCACATTTAGCAGCTGTTAATCAATAAATCTATCTGATGATGGAATGATATAAAGTGTGGCTGCAGAATTAATGTCTGCTGTCTCATTGATGTTTGTTCCATAACATTTCATTTCTAAGGACATGCCTATTTTCATGGTATCAGAGAAATTGGATTTTTTTACTCACAGATTCAGACTTTCTACACAAATCAATGGCATATTTTCCATTTTTTCAGTATTTCAAATTGCTGCATGCAATTGATTTTAGTGACATGAATACTAAAGCAAAACTGATCATTTCCTTTCATTGAAATCTAAAAAAAGTTTGACAAATATTTTTAATGAGAGTTGCAAAATTTCAAACTATCGGCAAAAAGGAAATGGCTCCAGAGCAGATGTAAAAAATTGGTTACACACTATATCTCAACTTCATCATGCATCAGACCAAATGAAAAATCCTTTCCATGGAAGCAAACAAAAATTAGACGAAAATTTTCCTTGTACAATGAGTGTTGTAAAATCTCAAACTATTGGCAAACAGAAAGCGGCTGTAAGACAGATATAAAAATTGCTTACACACTACATCTCAACTTTATCCAGCTGCAGACCAAATATAAAATTACTCCCTTCCATAGAACAAACTTTGACAAAACTTTTTCTACCAAAAATCTTTCAGACAGACAGAGTCAGGTAAAAATTATGGTTTTCATAAACCAAGAACCAATGAAATGATAAAATTTTCATGTTATCTAATAGGTTTTCATATCATATACAAATAAATAAAACAATCAAATAAAAATAAGTTATTTATTTGTTCACATGTCAATACTGGTTGACAAAAATTTGACGATAACATTAAACAACAACAATGGACGTTAACATGAAATATAATCTCAACAAGGCCATTATATACTATACTTAAAGTTGAAACACAAATTTCATCAATAACGACAACAAAGAACAATGATTCAGTAAATGCTTGAAGTATTTCTGGTAATATTTTTCAAGAGAACTATTATGGGTGTAGCTGGAAGCGATGTAATTTAAAGAATTTTCATAATAAATAAACATATCTATGCATTTATTTTTTAGTTATTGATATTGACAAGGTTTGTAGACATCAGCTGATTGAAATTACTGGGACCAAACTGTTACCCAAAGTCATAGACTGAGGGTAACAGATAGCGATATGGGACAGTTGTCCAAGAATACTGACTGTTTTATTATAGCTTACGCTATACAGAGTTATATAAGAAAAAGTATCACATTTTTAATTTTTTTTTTTCTAAACTCAGAATGAAACATTTAGGTTCAAAAACTGTTCATTTGAGATAGATGGAATTGGTCAATTAACAATAAGCAGGCAAAAAACTTTATAAATGTTTTATCTTTACCAAAATTTTCTATAGGCTAGAGAATAAATATTTAATTTTGATTCAGTTATCCTTAAAAAATCAAATAGCTGTTTGATAAACTAACAGGAAACTGCCATTAAGGTTGGTTTGACATGGACGAGTTAGAAATAGAAAACTATTCTTTTAACCAGCTCGTAACTGGTGAAATTGTTATTTGGTCTCACTTATGGCAACACGTTGAATTTATCACAAACTTTTCTGTTCATAAAGCAGTACCAGTATTTCCTAACAGATTTTTATTAGTGAATTGATGTTATTGCAGGGAAATCAAAGAACTATCGTATATATTTATTTGGGTAAATGTCATTCAGGTTTCAATGTGTTAAATATTTCATCATTTTCTGCAATATGCAAGTTTTAGAAATATTTTGAATAACCAAAGTGAAGGGTTGACTGCAGCGTAAGGAGGTGAATTCTTAAATCAATATCATTATTTGAAACTTTTCAATCATCATATGAAATATAACTATTTTTGTCTTTGGTTTCATGAAAAAAAAATTTGTCATTTAAAAATCTTGGATTTAATTTGCACCATGGGGTATGTGTATATTCCTTTTTATAAATAATAAAAAACAAGGTTTAACCTCATCTAAAGATAGTAATTGTATAAAGCAAAGAGTAAATATATTTTACACATTTTGATACACAAAACATATGTTAAATGTATGTTAACAAACATAAATAAAACATATGACAAAGAGCACAAAAATGTAATAAAGCTAATATGGTAATTTACATCTACAAAATGGCACACAATACCACCACATGAAAAAAGAAGCTTAGTTCCTTTAAAGAATGGCAAGGGCAAAAATTGACAAAAAGCCTAATATGATAGATAGGTTTCCATTGACATAATTTGAGCAAGAGTTATTTCCCTTTTGTGCTATGTTGGAGGTCTAAATGCACAAATTCCCTCATAAATCAGCCATATTCAACTTGTTATACTGACCGCCAGACTTTAGATAAAAGGTTTTTCTGAACAACATTTATTTCTTTATGCCTTTCTTAATTCATCACTACGATCAATCAAGGATCTCTTTTCAGACTTGTGTGTATCACATGTTTCATCTGGTTATTGAAATAAAAAAAATCGACCGTTTGTTCCTCTTAAACAGTGGCCAAGGGAAATAACTCAAACTCAAATTAAGTCCTTCAAAACTTATCTATTTATATTACAAATGAAGGTGTTTGACACCAGTTATACTTCAAGCAAGTATGCCAATTAAATATAGCTCAAATATGCACAAAATAAATATATTTATACTTTTTACAAAATATCACAGTATTTTATTACACATTATATTACAAATGTATCAACACATTTCATAATTGCCATCAATTTGAAAGCTTTATTCCTTAGCTCATCATGCAGGGTTGTAAATAATAAAAAAAAAATAAAAAGTTATATATTTTGAAAATTTAGTTTATATCTCAAAAACTGTCTAAATAAAATAAAAAATTCTAGTTTCTGAAGCTATGGTCCAAAATTGATACAAGACCAGCATAAATACAGAACAGTTTCTTTTCCAAAATAGCTTAATTTCTTCCTTTATTATCAGTGTATAAAATAACTAATAAAATATTAAAATAGAACAATTAGTATGTGACCTTACAACAAATAAATGGGTTTTACTTCATTCATATTTTTACCTTATGAAACAAGGATTCTGTATTGGAGAAATCAGTAACTATTTTCTTAAATCTAATTCATCTATTTTGTCCATAAAAGAAACATCTTCATAATTTTTAACTGGCCTTTTTGTGCAAAATCCCTTAATCATTTTGATTGTTCCATAAATTTACACTGTTCATCATGTATATGGAAAATGGTATAACTGTTTCTGTGAGGTGCAAAACAATTTTCAAAGTGGCTTCATAAGGCATGATCATGATTATTGAAATATGACAGCTCTCAACTTAGATAATATTTAAATAAATGAAAAACAAACTTACTGATTTGTCCATTGACTGAAAACAATTAAGTACAAAAGTCCAATCAAACAGAAGTTTAAAAAAGATGATACTTAGAAATGTAAAATGACCTTTCAAACCGACATTTTATTAAAAATAAGACAGAAGAAAAATTGACCATATCCTACAGAAATTGTGATAAATCCCCCCCCCCCCCCAAAAAAAAAATCTCTAAATTACAAAATTATAAGAAAAGAGTTGCCAGCTGTCTCGTCTGCACTACTGATCATGATTGAATCTATGTTGAAAGTCTTTTAAGATGAAGATTTCACTACAAATATCACTTTAACTTATCATTGACCAATGAACCATGAATATGGGGTCAAGGTAAGAAAAAACCATGCCAGACAGACATGTACACCAAATAATCATTCCATACACCAAATATAGGTGACCTAATACTTATAGTTTCAGAAATTAGAAACAGGTTTGACAACAAAACTTAACCTGGATAACTGATCCATGAAATTAGGTGAAGGTCATGTGTACTCTGTCTGATGCACATGTAGACATATACTAAATATAGTTATCCTTATACTCATAAGAAGTGACAAAATCATGTGATGATAAAAAAAAAACTAAAGTTTTTGTTAAGCAGTCACTGATTCATGAAAATTAGGTCAAGGACAACGGACATAGGCCAGATAGATACTTAAGAACAGGAGGCATCTACACCCGATTACAAGATATGAAGTATGCACGTCTTTTACCTTCTGAAATATAAAACTTTCTACAAAAATGTTAAGCTGTCTCTGCAGCTATTTCCATGAGGTGAATAAAAGGATTTAAAAAACATTTTATCAATCAAAAATGAGTGATTTTCTCATAAACTTTTACCAAGATACTTATCACTGATTTTGCTATGTGCCAAGATTTGGAATGCTTTATCATCAAAATTGTTTAGTTACTATAAGTTGAACATAACTTTTTATTGGAAAACATTACCAGGAACCTCAACTACTGTACACAAATAAGTGAATAACAGGAGTCATATAATAAAAATTTTATTTTACTCTGACAGATGAGTTTCCCTAGGAAAATTTGATTTAACATTTGATACATAACAAAAGGAAGAATCTGGTACCCTTTGCTCTTATATATGTAATGCCCTTTTAGACTGTTCCATAAAAATATATATGGACCCTGAGAAGCAACTTGAATTTGCCACTATGGGTGGGTGTAAAATATTATGTTGTACAAGTTTAAAATGTAAATAGGTCTCCAAAATGCTTATGTGAGTGGTTACTTATTTCCAAATTGCTTCCCACAATCCAATACTGTAAATTCAGAAATTATTGCGATGTTTTTATTATTGCGAAAATTGCTACAGGGTTATAATCGCAATAATTTAAACTCGCATTTTGAAATTTTTTATATGAATTATATAGGATTTTTCTAAATATCGCAAAAATTAAAATCGCATTTTAGTCTTAAATGACAAAATCGCAATAATAAATGCACGCAATAATTTCTGAATTTACAGTATATGTTTTAATGAAACAGCCATTAGATACTAGTTGTTTTAGAATTTAATTTGTTTCTCTTACCAATGTTTAATGACAAAAAAAAATGAGATTTTTAACATGATTCTTTAAACATTTAAAACAAAAATTTATGATGGCAAATAATTAAATAAAACGACATAAAATTATCCAGAAAAGAAAAAGGCATCATGAACAATTCTCACTCATAATCTCAAGAATTCACACTTTGTGTAAACCATATTAGTATTCACACTTTGTGGAAACCATATTATTTCTTACTCTACAATTGCTTGATTCTCCACCGCACAGGCATTGCCTTCTGACAAGGAATTAAAACAACACTCAATTACAAAATGACCAGCCAGGCGAAACATGTATTTTGACAGTTTGAAACTTTTCTCTAGAAAAAATATGTTCTTTTGGCCCCAAAATAAAAATCCAAAATCTTACAACCATAAATTCATGGGGAAATCAGATATCACAAATAACTAAAATTGTTTAGTTAAATACTATAACACTTGACTAGCAGCACTTTGACTTAAATATATGATAGCACCAACAAAGTTTACTCCTGCTGCTATGATAAATACAGGAAACCATCGTCCATGACTTTGTGAAACTAACTCTGCTGTTAATGGTCCACATAAAATACCTGGAATAGTGGCCTGAAATACAACAAAAATATGTAAACATTTGAAATGTAAAAATCACCAAACAAACTCGAGATACATGTACTGTGATAAAACCTCATAAATGAGACATTTTTTTTAAGTGGCTGAAGAACATGAATATTGAGGAAGTTTTTTAAGCAAGTTCTGAAACAAGCAATTTGAAATGAGAAAGGGTTTGGACAACACACAAAATGGTAATGAATCATGACTGCAACAGAAAATATATCGGATAAGATTGGAAATTTAGGCTCAGACTCTGCTCCCAACTACTCTTCACAAACCTGTGATTTTATTCAGTTTGCTTTGCTGTATGTTACTGATACTTGATTTTGACATATTAGAATTATTGATTGCACCCTGCCATCTTTGCAATTAATAAAAACAAGGCTACAATCCCTATGCCATTGAAATCACAGGCATCATATACCGAACAAACATGTTCTTAACAGAATAATACTTGTTAATTAAATCATCAAACAAGAAGCATGGGCTGTGCCTTAAACTTCAAGGATTATACTCACAGTACTTCCAGTTAATCATAAAATAACCTATATTCTAATATAAGATGTAATGAACTCACCAATGTATTGGATATGGCAAACGTAATACCAGCATGATTAGGTGCGATCTCTGCATGGTTACTTAAGTGACCCGATGAATTACATGCACTTAATCCAAGTGATAAAGATACAAAGCTGAAAAAAATTAATATCTGTTACAGGTTATCTATCAGAATGTGGTCATAGAACAATGACAACAGATATCAAAAGGATGACTGATTAACATGTTTGACCAACTTGACTAAACATTAAAAATACTGTAGATAATAATGAAGTCATCTCATCAATAACAAATGATAATTGTATTTATTCTGCAACTAGCTGTGTTTACTTCCTAAATATAGTTACAAAGCTTTATTTTGTGCAATGTCAATTCCATCATGGATCACTTTTTCCACAATCAGGGGTTCATTTAGGGATGAACATAAGTTTAAAATTTGCGCTACAATTTAAATAGCTATCAATGTATTAGTTTAAATTGCAGCATAAAAACAATATAAGGTCAATGTCAGAAAAATATAAACTTTTTTGTATTCGGCACAAAAACTGGGGAAGGGCTCGGTAAAACCTCGCCCTTCCCCAGTTTCTCAGCCTCATACAAAAAAGTTTATATTTTTCTGACATTGACCTAATATTGTATATTTACTAGGTACACACTCAAAAAGTTCATCTGTAATATTTATACAAAGAGAAATAATTGCCTCAATTCACTTTTTCAGATATTTATAATTCTGAATTTAAAACATCAATTTATATATACAAATTCCTACTGTGTGTGACATGTAAAGTAAAGACTGATAAATCATCAACTTAAAAGTTTCAGTACAACATGCAGTGTTCCAGCTAGGATTTGAAAATAGAGGGGCGCGTTTTTAAAAAAGGGCACTTTAGCGCGTTCTCACTGAAAAAAATCAAATACTTAATATTACCACATAATGACATATTTTTAGCAAGCATGTAGCTATGTTAAATACTCTATACTATTATATACAAGTTTAAAAATCATTTATTTAGAACATATAAGTTAAAATCAAACTGAGAGCACTAATAGTCATTACTATATTCATTTCTCTTTCAGAACTACAGATTTTTTCAAAAGAAGAGTTCAAATGCAAATAAATATTAAACAACATTGACAAATATTCTGTTTTTCTCTTTGAAGAAGGTTGTCACACATTGATCAAGAATTTTTTCAAATTTAGTTTCATCACAGTTTAATTTTACAGTTAATATTTTTGTTAATGTCTGTGTTTTCAAGTTTGCCCTGTGACTTGTCTTTATCAATTTGACCTGAGAGAATATTCTCTCCACCTCTGCTGTACTGAGTGGTTGTATTATTGCAACACTGAATAGTTTTGCAACAAGAGGGTACATAGATAATAGATTTTTATCCTTATGACAAGGTGAATGAAATAGCTCTAGCAGACTAGGTAAGGAACGATCTGTAAGTTCTGCTGATGACACAAGAGCTATAAAGTCCTGCCATTGAATAAGGAGAGTTTCAGGGTCCATGGCAAATGTATTTGCCAGAGCTTCTATCTCTGTATAACCATACATTATTTCAATGTTGTCTGTTCCTGTAAGGTCTGAAATGGCCATCTGATCGATTGTGTCAGCCTCCTTAACTAACTAATATATTTCCAATTAATCCATTGAGAAAGCACGCTCTGACTTTAGTGTCAAAATCTACTGTATATTTCATGTTGAGCGTATCTAATAATATCAATAAGTTTGTCAAAACGGATTTCAATAAGAAAATTGATACAAAAATCGGACTTTCGAGAGCTCCGTAATCGGCACAATAATAAATTAATTCAACTTTGAAAGTTTATTATCAATTCAACAAGCATCTCCGTATATTTCATGTTGAGCGTATCTAATAATATCAATATTAAAGTTAGTCAAAACGGATTTCAATTCAAGAAAAATGATATAAAAATCGGACTTTCGAGTGCTCCGTAATCGGCGGAATTTACAATAGAAGAACAATTGCGATATCTGATAGAAACCTTAATTTCTTCTTCTCGATTTTTCATAAAAGTAAAGAATTAAATTACTTTTTTACCGTTGATGGTCATTATTCTTGAAAAAAAGATGTAATAGACTGGCAAGTCTTTGATATTTTCTTCTTGTCATTTTCGAGTTGGTCAATTTTTCTTTTTTTCGTCGGCATTTTGCGTGTTGTTGATTTACAATATCCTATTGGAATGATTCTTTTTTAATGAACGTTATTTTATAAATAACAAATACAATAGAAATGAACATCGTTCACATTTATTTTATAAATTCTATTTTGCATCGTCAGGTGTTAAAAAATCAATTCATTTAACTTGGCTGTTTCGGTGCTTCAGGGCAAAGGGATTAGACAGGGTCGTAAATTTCACCTGATTAAGTAGTTGACTCTAATCAAATAGGTGATTATATACAGGTAACAAGTGTCAACAATTTTAATCTGTTGTCTTATTGAAGTGTGTGTATAAAGAACTCAACAAAATGGCGACGATATGAGGAAAAAAGATCGTTTTTAAACTTTTTTCAAAAGGGCACAGAGGGGCGCATTAGAAGGGCAGAAGGGCAGAGGGGCGCTTAAAAAAGGCAGAGGGGCGCAAAATTTCGGGGGCGGGGCGCGGCGCCCCTCCATTTCATGCTAGCTGGAACACTGACATGAGTGAATTGTACTTCTGAATGATTGGTTGTTGCTTGGAATTGTACTTTTGACATAGTATGTGCTTTCAACATAAAATACTAAAATTAATAAGTATTTTTTTATGTTTAACTACTTTTTTAAAAGTATTGACTACTTTACTAGATATAAATAATAAAATACTTACAAAACAGCTAATGGAAGATTATCAACAGCACTAAAAAACAAAATAAATAATCCTGGTCCTAACAGACCAATACTTGTCATTAACCTTCTCACTGACACCACCGTCCATTTATGTTTTATTATTAATGAATCTGCAAAGTGACCAGCAACTGAAACAAGATAATCAAATAATTAGTTTCCTATGTAAAAAGATATGGCCCATAATTCTAGTTAATACATAGCTAACTTAGTAATGCAAGTGTCTTGCTTTTAACTACTTAAAATTTTATTCGGTATTGGTACATGTATTTTCATCACCAGAGTTTTTGGACAGTCAAATTTATCAATGAAAGATTTTTCAATGAGAACTTTTGACATTGAATGAACTCCACATTCTGTAAAGAAGAACAATAGCTATTGTATTTATTCAACGGGACAGTTAAATTTGCAAAAATTTAAATGGCCAGGTAAATACCAATTGAATCTAGAGAAAGATATATCTTTTGCAATAGTACTTAAAATATACTTACCAACACCTACTAATGAATTCATGACATATGGTACAGCGGTAAACATTATAGAACTTTGATTAGCACCTAACGTTCTTCTCATATATGTTGGTAACCACTGCATTATAATATAATTTGACCAGTTCATACTAAAGTGTGCTATATAAATGGACCACAGAGGCCAATGACATAAAAATTCTCTCCACGATACGTTGGTATTAGATACCTACAATAAAATTAAACTTATACATTTTGTACATGTCAGTATATTTAAAATAGGAAAGGATAGAAGTATGATTTTTTCTTTTTTTTTTTTTAAATACACAAAATAAGCATTGATGTTGGGAAATAAAATCTGCATATATATCAATATGATAGATGGATGGTTATTGTCTACCAGGCAACTTTTCATCTGCATATGGCTAGGTTGATTTTTTTATGAATTTGAACCTTTTTTTTTACTGATTGACATGCAGAGATGGATCTTAAGCTGACAGTGTCAATTCATTATTATCCCAATTTAATATAGTGATATCATCTCTAAATGCTGCATGCTTAGTGGAGAGGCATCAAATACTATAGGCTTTGTTTTAACCTGACCAGAGATCATGATCTCAATATCATATCTGGTTGGAAAAATTGCAAAAAAATCCAAATGTTTTGTGAGTGGATTATGAAGTCTGGTTATGCATTATACCATATATTAAAGATAATGAGGGATGGATTGGTAATTAATGTCCAATGGCAAATATTACATGCATATCAGGAGGAGAACATGTCTAAATGATATGATGAACCTGCATCATACTAGACCAACACTGAGCAAGATTTTTAACCAGCTAGATAATAAAATGCTCCGCTGGGGCACAGCTTGATACGACTGCAGAGGTCGAACCCTGAACAGTTGGGGCAAGTATGGACACAACATTCAAGCTTGATACAGCACTGAATTTGGATTGTAATTAAATATTTGACACAGCATAGGTTTCTGACACAGAACGAATGTGGTCTAAGAACTTAAAATTTTTTAATTTACCTATTCAAACCATATCATTATTATTTGCTTTTATATATAAATCAGAAATAACCAATTTAAAATGGAAAATTTTGAAGAAAAAAAAAGGAAAAAAAAAATCCCCTCCCCAAATTTTTTTGAACCCCCTTATGATTCATCACCCCAAAACTCAATCCCAGCCTTCCCTTTGTGGTATGGTACCTTGCAGTACAATTTCAGAGAGATCCATACACTGAAACACAAGTTATTGTCTGGAAACTAGAAAAATGCTTGTTTTTTGGCCCCAAATTCCTAAACGTTTAGGGCAATTACCCCCAAACTCAAACCCAGCTTTCCCTTTGTGATATGGAACCTTGCAGTACAATTTCATAAAGATCCATACACTTACACACAATTTATTGTCCTGAACCTAGAAAAATGCTTGTTTTTTGCCCCTTTTTGGCCCCTAATTCCTAAAATTTGGAGGCAATTACCCCCAAAATCAATCCCAGCATTCCCTTTGTGATATGGAACCTTGTGGTACAATGTCAGAGAGATCCATACACTTACACACAAGTTATAGTCATGAAACTAGAAAAATACTTGTTTTTTGCCCCTTTTTGGCCCCTAATTCGTAAAATTTGGAGGCAATTACCCCCAAAATCAATCCCAGCATTCCCTTTATGATTTGGAACCTTGTGGTACAATGTCAGAGAGATCCATACACTAACACACAAGTTATGTCATACCAATATACGACCACAAAATTTTTTTGGGGTCGTATAAAAAGGTAGCAGTTTGAAAGAAGACATGTCACAATTACCAGACACATTATTCTGACTCCCAAATGACCAATCTTTGCTCTTACTACTAAACCCTTCCACAAGACTACAGAGCTGGTTAAGAAGACTAGGGTTAAAGTGACAGTATGATTTTTATTGAACAATTGTCTACTTACTTTTGGAGGTTCAATAAATTCTTCTTCTGTTGATGTTCTGGCTTCTTGGTATAAAACTGCCCAAGCTAATACCCAGAAAATACCCATAAAACCAAACAAATAGAACATCCAAGGCCAGGACATATGTGGTAATATCTAAAAAACAATCAAGATGGTTAAATAAAGCAAATTATATACTTATATGATGTGCTGATCTTCAATTGTAACTAGAATGTAATGTATAAAAGTAACTTATTGGTAGCACACCATGATAAACATTGCTAAAAAGGTAATAAAACAAGGAAATACAACAATATATGGAATTATTACACTTGTAATTTACATTTTTCTTCTTTGGTTTCTTGTGGATTGTTGTCTCATTCGAAATCATACCACACCTCCTAACTTTTAAATGTATAAATGCTAATTTTGCATGGGTTAAGAAATTTTTAATTGAAAACAGAATGTTCTTTTCATATCCCCTTATTTAAATTGGTTGGTAAAATGTGTAAACATTATTCACTTACCACAGAAGCCACTGTTTGACCTATTGATCCACAAGCTACAAGGTAACCAAATGCTCTAGATCTTTCTTCTCCAGGAATCGTGTGAGCAAAAATGTGGAAAATTGTTGGAAGACCTACAAAATATATCACAGAATATGGTTATATTTCCATGAAGAAATAGGGGCAAATGTTTAAATATATCATACAAACTGGAATGAATTATGACAATAAAATTTTAAGAGAATCTGTTAATATCTAATAAATGACCAATTTAAAACTAAATAAAAGCAAAATTTTGTGAAAGTGGTGACAAAAAAGAAAGAAAAAAACATACAGATAGTACAATGAACAGAAGAAACAGCTCAAATTAATACATTTGGGCAAGATGAGCTAAAACTGTTAAAAAATAGTGTTTAATAAGATATAATTTCTAAATAACTAATGTTAACCAATTTACCTAGCCCTTCTCCAAGTCCGAGTAAAACTCTAGAAAATATCAACAGGTTAATAGACGGAGCACAAAAAGGTACCATCAGTGTAGAAAAAGACCAAAGTAGAACAGATATTAACAATATAGCCTTGCCACCATACTTCTTTGATCCACTACCTCCAAATACCTGAAATTATATGTAAAAGTTACAGCATGAATATTGATTTCTCTTACTGATCTATACAACATTCATAATTACATTATGAAGATTATTTAAATTGGTGTTAATTTTAAAATCGATTGTTGGTATCTAATGCCACTTTCAGCACTCTTGGCTATATTGTGGTGGCCAATTTTTATGGTGGAGGAAGCTGGAGTGCCAGGAGAGAGCCATCAACTTTTGGCAGGAAAACTGACAATACTAGTTATTAAAGATTAAAGTCAAACTCACCTGCCACATGCAGGGTTCATACTCACAACCTCAGTGTTGACAGGCTAGTGATTGCTGTAGATTATATACTTAGACCACTAGGCTACCTAGGGCCCTTAATTTTAAGAAATGTATGATCCTTCATTAAAATCTGTATTATATGTTTAAAAAAGAAATTGCAGATTTGCTTTTTCATATGTTCTTACCTGACTGCTCATATATCCAACAGCAAATGAACTAAGTACCCATCCTTGTCCATGCAAGTCCCAATTATATTCATCTGCCATAGGAACAATAGCTATAGGCATAATGACTCTGTCTGCTGCATTTATAAAGTTAGCAATTGAACACAACGCTATGGTATGTGAAGGCTTTGTTAACATTTTATTCATCTTCATGTTATGATTAAAACTCAATATTATATAATCTCCAACATCATCATCATTTCTTTAATAGCTGAAAATATGATAAATATATTGTCAGACTTTAACACAAATATTAATATACTAGTTATTACTATAAATAATTCATTAAAAAAATATTAAAATACTGCTACCAAATGGGAATGAATGGATTACAGAAGTAGAATATTCAAGGATGTACAAAATGTATATTACAAAAAAAGGGCAAACAATATCAGTGAGAAAAACTTCTTTATCAATTTAGCTTGTCTCTTTTGGACCTGTATTAGAATCACATGAACATATAACTTAACTCTGTCATATGTTAATAGTTATAGTGTTACATGGACCGTGTCTTCATGATGTTTTTCTAATTTAGCTTTTTTTGTCTGTTTTTCTTTGACTCATGATTTTTCAGTGTCTCTTGCTCTGTCTTTAGTTTTCTATACTCTTGTTTGTCTTTTGTTTTTGTTCAATTTTTGTTGTTTGCTCTCGGAGGAGTTGACGGAAAAGTATAAGACTGTTGATTGTTATCAATACTTTTGAGTTGATTTTCATTTATATTCTTGAAAATTTGTACAAGCAGTTTCTAGCCATTCAAAGTAAAACAAAATATTTTATCAAAAAGAGTAAACTTTATCTAAAATTTTTTTGAATGAATACTTTATTCTCATAAAACAACTGTTACAGAGAACAGTGAAAATTTGGATTCAATTAAAAAAATCAATAATTATTCATATTTTAGCTTATGGATTAGAAGTATGGATTTCTGAAACAAATTTTGAAGCCCTAAATCAGAGAAAAAATTAAGAAAACTCAAAACTTAATTTTTAATTAACCTACATGAGGTTCACAGAAATTCTTTTAACATTATGTCATACACATGATACATGTTGGCAGTTTGAGTAGAGGTAGTTTTAAAAAAAAAATATCCCCAGCATAATTAATGGGGCTTAGGAATGGATTCTGTGGCAGCATATTCTTTAAATCAATCCTGACTAAGATTCCAAAAGGTATTAGGCATATTTACACTTGTGTTTTCTTTATAAAGGGACGAAGTCCTATATTACAGTAGAAAAATCAATAAACAAAAAAAAAAAAAAAAAAACCAGGAAAATTTCCTGAAATTTTTCATTGTACTAATGAACTCAAAATCGTTAACCTTTTTTTTTGTCACTTTTTTTAATTCCTGCATTTACGCAGAAATCTACTTCCCTCTTCTGGTCTCGTTGTCATGAGACCTTGAGTAGTCTAGTAAAATATAGGAACTCAAGGAACACAATACCAATTTCATTTTTAATAATTCTTTGTCTTTAATATGAATAAACGTTACCTGATGATCTTGTTTCTTTGCTTACATTGAACATGACGCCATAACTTAAATAACGTCACAAGTAAAATCCCTAACAACAGAACCAAAATCGGAAACGTGACGGTATCTCCGTTTCTTTTTAAACAGATTATAAAGTTACACAAAAAATATTTCATACAAACTTCGTCCCCTTTCAGTGGCGTTTCACAGGTAATGCCTGCCTCATATTAAAGGAAAGACTATACTAGTAGAAAAGAGTCTCTGTTATCCCTATATCCATTCTGTTTAATTCAATATAATTAATTCTTCTCAAAATATGTTGCCAAGTGCATGTATGTTATACATGAATGTGCAAAAAGACCCTGATAAGAAAGTGTGACATGCAACACACCATTCACAGATGGGGGATACAGGTTTTGTCAAAATTAGGTAAGTGCTCCACTAACCATTTACAGAAAATATGAGCAAGGTATAACAGTCAAAGGTACTATTTTTTGGGACATAATTCTGGACATATGTGGAATTTTTACATGGACGTGGTCGCAGGGACGGTGTCCGATGCTGTACTGCCTGTGCGTCATATATCAAAACAATGAACAAAATTTACTGCCAATATATGTTCTGGTACCTTTTCTGGTGACATTCAATGACTAATTATATTGGTGCTTAATAGGGATAACTAGGGATTTGCTTGTAAAACCTTGTTCGGTACGTGGCATACATCCGATTCATACGTAACCGCTTATGGTAATGATGAAAACAATAATCAGTAAAGAGAGTATCGTGATTTGATTTGACACATAATATGATGATTTTTCATCAATTTGTATTATAATTATTATTGATGCATGTTTCCTTTTAAATCTATTTATTCGTAATGACTTTTTTCTATGTTTTAAGCGGTTTTTTTTGTAATATTTCTTTTGTTTCGGACCAATTAAGTAACAATTCCGTGAAATATCCAGTTAGAAAAATGTATGTGTTTTAAATATAATTTTGTATTTCTAACGGAGTAGCACATCCTAGTTTTGCAGTGATGTTGTTTATCGAGCCCGGAAATTTAGATATGATTCGGGTAAACTTATCAATCCTTTAAATAAACTTACCATAAAAGGTTACCAATTCAACACTGTAACTTAATTAGATCTTTCACGGGGTATTGTTTTTATCGATATAAATATTGATATCGTTATCAGTAAATCAAAACCATATTAAATAATATGAGGAAGGCGCTACCTTGAATGCCAGCTTACCAAAACTATGTCCTACATATTGATTGATTGTTGGTTTGCTGAAAGCCCAGTGGCAAATATTTCATGCATGTTCAGGACGAATGTCCTACATATAGTTTTTGTCTAAAATAAAATAAGTTTAGATGGAAAATGTTTAGGGAAAGATCATTGAACTTCAAAAGGCAGAAGGAGGTATGGTATTTTTTTTTGGTGTGTCGCAGGAAGCATCAAAGCAAAAAATTAAAATAGCCTTCCTGGACGTCATAATTATTTGGACTAGTATTTTTCTTTAAAAATTGATGACAAAAAATACTCTGTTCAAGCAGAGGACAAAAAAAAAATATTCTGAATCCAGATTTTCCCCATACCTTCTAGTGTTATATTTTGACTAAATAATGTTGATTGATAGCATTGAAGTGCTTCACGTGTAAAAAATCTGACTCAAACAAAAAACCATACCCCCCTTTAAAGCTAAATGGTTGCTCCCTTATTGTTTTCTGCTGAAAATGAATTTTTGGGTGATTTATATAAATGACAATGCTTACATTCATTATCTTGTGCATTTTCATATCCATTTTTCTTTCTTTGCAAATTTTATAAAATTTAAAACAATTAGACATTTGTTTAATTTCAAAACTATGAATACTGTACAGTTATACAATCCATAACTTTATTAAATTAATTTTTTGTTGATTTTCATGAAAAGGTGGAGGATTTGGAATATCTTTTTCATCAATATCATCATCTAAAAGTTGTAGCGGTTTTTTTTATTTAGTATTGCAAACAACGCTTTCTGTTTGTTGAATTATTTTTACTTTCTAAATTAGCTGGTTGTTCATATTGTATTCCCAGTTTCCTGCATCTCATATATATGTGATCAGCAAGAGGATCATTCTGATTGTTAAAAGAAGAGTTTTAATTTACAGTGAGCCTGCTTAGAATAATGTTTTGATCAGGTTTTTCATTTTCATCTAAGCATATAAGGAACCATAAATAGGATTGTTAAGTTGATAATCTAAAGATTTTGCTTTTTTCTAGGATGCTATTTAAAATTTGAGGGGAGAACACTGCTCAGCAGAATAAATGCATTCCTGATCATCTTCTTTTTGTGGGTTTCTACATCAATTTCATGTACTAATTCAGAGTCGGTTTTATGTCATTTCTTGCATAATTTGTTTTATTAGCTTACTTTTCAAGTTTTTATACGACGGCAATATAAAATTGAGAATCGAAATGGGGAATATGTCAAAAATTTGCTTTCGAGTAATGCTATCATGTCGCTGTTGCTGCCCGAAGACACATTTGATTTCCGGACAATAACTTTAAGTAAATCGATCTCTATGCCAATGTATGAAATTGTACCAGAAGGTTCAATACACAAAAGGAAGGTTAGAATTGATTTTGGGGGTTATGGTACCAACAGTTTAGGAGTCAGTGGTGAAAAACATTTTTGGGTTTTTTCTCCAAAAATTTACCATTTTTACATTGATTATTTCTCATTTATATATAAATGCAACTCATACTGATATGGCAGGTGATACACACGAAACAGTGTGTGTAAATCATTTTATCGGTAATTTGTGCATTTTTCCTTTAATGTGTACTCCTTGTCCTTGATAATGTCGACGTCATTATCAGTGGACTGGTCATGATAAAGAAAATATATTGGGTTAGTTCGCAATTGACATGCACAAGTGCACCGCAAAAGGATCTTCTTTCCCTTTAATTCACAAAATTGCACATGATTTTTTTCACAGAAACGCACACGTTATTTCATGAATGAAACACTTGTCATTGTTTGAAAATTTTCAGTAATCAGCTGGTAATAAAACTTTAGTTTAGCCTTTTTGAACGATTCACTGATTGTGTGAAAATTTGAACAGAAAATGTACGAGAAACCTGATAAAATTGCGGAATTATTGATAGCTTTCCTTACTATCCACAAGGACATATCGCTAACATATCGTCCATGCTATTCCGATTTGACGCACGGTTTTTATTCCTACATAGTCTGGCATGGCTGGTGCTGTTCCAAGTTGTCTTCTTTTGCTGCATGTTTCTTGAGAAGTATTTGTTTGACCTGGTCAGTCACTATAAAGTGTTACAATTCATATTAAGACGCAACACATAAATAGTGACCAAAAAGGTACCGCTTTCACATGCATGACATGAGAGAATCTAGAAAAAAAATTAAATGTACACATTTTCAACATTTTTGTGGGACTATCATATAAAATTAAGGAGATATGTAGTTGGAGACTGCTGCTGAAAAGAAATGTTTGGGCTCACCTGATACCTGTTTTCAAATAAGTCCATATTAAAGTTTGAAGGGTCCAAAATTAAAATATGTCTGATTTCAACTGACATAAAATTTTTGGTGTTTTTTATATGCTAAATCTACATCTGTGGTTGTATCAGGCTGTGCTTGGCGAAGCATTTTATTGCTGTTTTGTTTGTACTTTATTTTATTTTGGTCATGAAAATTAACTTGTAGTTGTGAAGTTGCTAACATTTTTAAAAGATGATAATTAGATAACTTCGCATGGTGACGACACTGATGTTTTCGTAGATTTACTTTTTCCCAGGAATGCTTCATCTGTTGATACATGTATATTCTCACTATGAACGATTTGTGTCTCAAAAAAAACTTGTAAGATTTCTGCAGTTATTTTTGTTGAATACATACATACACATAGGGTGAAAATTGGGTACTTGGTGCAATTTGAGTACTGTGACGTTATAGCCATAATTGTTTATTGCTATAATAGGTTGAAATGTGCACCTGATAAAAGTATTCGGTAAAGTGAAAATGTTTTGAGAAGGTTTAAACTGACGCATAAAATATACTGGTGACTGCGGGAGGCAAATATTTATATTGCCTCCAAATAATGTGTCTGCAGCTTTAATTTCAAAGGATGTATGTAGCCCACATACTTCCAAGTAACATGCTCTATACCTATCAAAAGTCATGGTATTATCATGGGTTATCATAACTCCATTGTAATTCCCATAAAATCCAATTTTGGACAATATGGGAGCATACAATATATACCTAAATGTATCACTCAGACTCAAGTCTCCTTTTACTATGATTAAACTTAGAGAGTGAAAAAAAAACAGTCTCCATCTCCTGGGACTTTTAAGGTAGATATGTGTCATAATTAATGACAAGATTTGTTGAGAGTCTGTCAAAGGAAGTACAGTGACAGTCTACAAAATTAGAAGATTGTGAATTTGAATATATATATTTTTTTTTAAACTTTTGTTAAGTTTTGAATTACACCTGCATTTATCTGTTAGCTAGGAATAACAGTGACCACATTCCACAGTATAACCAACTTCATTATCACTGTAACTGATATGGGAAATTCTGTAGCAGATTTTACTACCTTCACCTCAGGCTCCGCCTCCGGCTACGTTTCTCCCAAAATTTATTGCTTGCAGAGGGTCTTTCTGTGTTCCCATGGCTGGACGGAACTTTTACACTCAAATATTATCATTAATTATGATATTGTGACTTTTAAATGAAGTACCCGTGGTAATTTAGGAGATTTGTCACTGATAATGGAAAGATGAAGCAGACGACGAAACATGGCGTAAGATGTTGTTGTCCAAACTTCGGTTATTTCCGTGGTACAATAAAATTTAAATAAAATGCACAAGTTACTAAAATTTCTAAATTCTTGTTTTTGTAAACATGTCACATTTAACATCGAATTTATTCCGTTTTGTCCCGTTTTTTCAAGATCGCGATTAAACGAGAATCTGGCAGCCATTAAAAATATAAGGGTTAAACTAATGTCCTGAAATTGTCCTTACGGATATTCCAATGCTAATTTCGTTTTCATTATTTGAAGAATTGACCTTATATTTGGAGCCAAGCAAGAATACAATGTTTATTTAATAAATAAAATGAAAAAAAAGAAAACAAATATTTTTAAGAGTTAGATACCTTGACTTGATCTACTTCGAAAATTAAAAAAAAAAAAATCGTACGAGATTTAACGAGAGTGACGAAACTTTTTAGATTGCTCATGTAGAGAGAGTTATCGTTCTTTATTCCAATTCGATGCTTCTACCATAAGTGCCAGCTAAAGCTGGCATATTATTGTTATACACATATGCACATTCACTGACCTCCAATCTGTCGATACCTAGATTTTGGCACTGTGCAATGTTATGTTTTTCTCTGACTGTTAATGACGTCTTTACACTAAATCCATTGGATGCTGGATGTGTACTGATTGATATTCTAATACTAGATGCATGATTTTTTTATTAGTTGTTATATGCTTTAAACTAGCTGTCAATAACTGCGAGTACTCTCAGATCTGTACTTTGTGTCTTTTTTGTTTTTAGAGTTGTATACACTGCCACGACCGGTCTGTATTTTTGTCAGATGTTTTTCTGCTTTGTATGGATCTGATGAGTTTAGCCCTTTTAAACTGATTTTTGTAGTTTGTTGTACTGCTACACCACTGTCTCAAGTTAGGGGAGGTTTT